GAGAGGAGAAAGAGAGAGAGAGAGGAGAAAGAGAGAGAGAGAGGAGAAAGAGAGAGAGCGAGAGAGAGAGAGCGAGAGCGAGAGAGAGAGAGAGAGAGAGAGGAGAGGAGAAAGAGAGAGAGAGAGAGGAGAAAGAGAGAGAGAGAGGAGAAAGAGAGAGAGAGCGAGAGAGAGAGAAGAGATAGATAGATAGATAGATAGATAGATAGATAGATAGATAGATAGATAGATAGATAAAAGATATCTCACTGTAAAATAAATCCACAATCAATCCTCAAAATTTTCTTTATCAAGTAGACAAATATTAACTTGGAGCACAAAGAAATGCACACAAATCATACACGCACTCGCACAGACATAAATCACTTGTGTCTTATAGCTTTGCATAGTGTGTTCCTGAAGAGAAAACAATGCTCCCTGATTTCCTCAGTGCTGTTCCCATATACTCTTGTTAAAGCCAGGCCCTCCAGCTGTTGATCTGTCTACCACATACTTTCACTGTCAGAGCACAGCAGGCCACCGAGGTGCCATAAAGCCCCAATCAACAGTCATCCTCAGATAAACCCACAGCATTATCTGCAGTTGTAATATTCTGAGTCTTTATACAAGCACATGTTAGCTTAGTTGGGCCAGCCCGGCTAGCCTCTCATGGCTAATACCAACACATGTGGCACTTTCCCATGCATGAGAAAATGGACAAAAGCCATGCAGTAGTAGATAATTAGCTTAAGCAATCTAAAGATCTGTTTGACATCTAAAAGATACATTTGTTGTGACTCGACTCTGGTTGGAAGTAATCTGGACACCCATTTAGTTCTGAGGGACAATATACCATCTATCAACAACCTAGAAACTTCAGAAAATGCTTGAATCCAGTTTCAATGTATTGAATATTAATTTGATACTTACACTGACAGAAGAACCACAGCAATTAAAGTCCATTCTGGCCTTTTGTGAATAATATTAGTGTTTGTAAACCTAAAACAAATGACAATTCATAGCACCATTAACAAAAATGCACTTAAAAGCTTTAAAAATTTGAATGTGCATTGATGTCAGTCATAAAGACTTGTGCATGCATATGATACGGGGAAATGAGTGCAATATTAAAGTCAAACTGCTTTATTTGGTGTAATGTTTTTGAAGTTTGGATTTAGTAGCTCTCAACAGGAGAGACAGAATTCCTGGAAGCAGGTTCAACCCAAAGGTGAAGTGCCCCTTCAGAGGCATGGTAAATCATCTTCATAGTGTGACACACTACTTCCTGTTGACAGCACTTCTATGGCAAATCATAATTTATTGGCCGTGAAACTCAAAACTTCATGGTTTAGGCCAAAAAGGTCAAACGAGTGTCTGATAGGCAGACATAAACACTGATTTTACCCTGTCATCCACTATTATTGAAAGGTTTGGGGTTGGTAAGATTTTATTAATGCTTCAGAAAGAAGCAATTATTTGATCAAAAATACAGTAAAAACTGAAATATTAGAAGCTAAAATAACAGTTTTTTATTTTAATGCTTTTTAAAATGTAATTACTTCATTGATGACAATTCTGAATTTTCAGCAGCATTCAATGTCACATGATACTTCAGAAATCATTCTAATATGCTGATTCGGTGTTAAAACATTTCTTAAAATTATCGATGTTGAAAATAGTTGTGCTGCTTATAACTTTTTGGAAATCATTTTTTCCCCTCATTTTTTTGGATTCTTTGACGAATAAAAATTTCAGCATTTATTTGAAATAGAAATCTTTTGAAGCATTATAAATGTCTTTACTGACACTTTTGATTATTTTTAGGTATCCTTACTCAATAAAATGATGAAAGTAATTAATACTTTTGAACAGTAGTGTACATGTATTACCTTGTCTAAAATTCTTAACTCTTCGTCTAGTGTGCAATGTGACTTACCTGAATGTCCTGACCAAATTATTTATGTCATTGATTACATCACTCATCGTTAGACGCAGGGGTCCCACAGCATCTCTCAAGCTTTGAAAAGATACAAAGAGGGGGCAGACTTTTAAATGAGATGTTTATTAACTGATATGTACTTACATCAAAAAATTATTTTTTTTTTTAATTAAAACAAATAAATAAAAAACACACTTAACACTTTTGCTACTATTGAGGTGGGATATGGTTAAGGTTAGGGACAGGTTTGGTGGTATGGTTAGGTTTAGCTTAGGTTTAAGTGTGGGTCAAGGTAGAGGTAGGATCAACAGTGTAATTACAGATTAATTACATATGTAACTACTGGGATGTATTTTTAAATATAGGTACAATGTAAGAACGTGTGTACACAATAAGTGCATTGTATCAAATATTAATTTAAATGTAACTACATAGCACAAAGATACTTGAAATATAGTTGGTTCTAAGGAGGTTACGATTTGCAAGAAGACTATGAGTACTAGGTACTTTGATTTTCTTTCCAGCACATCTTAGAACAGTAACACAGGGCACCCTTTATACAGATTTCAAGCATGTCAAATGCACAAGATAACATTATTATAGTGCGAGCAAAACATTGTTAATGGTGTCTGAAATGACAAACACTGATCCAACCATTGCTGAACACTGACCTCTGGCTGAGCTTCTCCACAGCAATGCGTTTCTGAATCAGATGCTGTGCATGAGAATCAACCAAGGGCAGAGGAGGGTCCTTCCCACTGTCCTGCAGGACCATGAAAAAAAAAGTGTCAATCAAGAATGTAACATGCAGAAATCAATGAGAGATGCTGCCAGTTATCGTGAGGAACCTCAGTCTAACAAGCTTGAATTGAGCACCCACAACACAGGACAGTCCAAGTAACTGCAGGTTCAGACTTCAACATGCACATACTTGTATGTTAAAGCTACACTTTCCCAACCAAAAAAAAAAAAAAAAAGTAAGTCATTTAAAGT